AAAAATATTATTTCTGAGTCTCCCAAAGGCTACGAATCCAAATAAACATATTGCATAGTCATTCAGACTCAAAATATGTCCACAGTTAGCAGAAGCTAATGTTATTTCACGTCAAATGCATGCACTCCACATCATAAGGGCAGTTTGTCAGTCTGTGTATGTTTGGTCAGGGACAAGAGAGAAAATACTCCGGATTCTGCCATTTCAAGGAAGGTACAGAGAGGATGCTGGGCCACCCTGGAGCACGATGGCAAAGATGGATCTGAGATTCTCCTCGACCAAAGTTCAGTTTCCTCTAAGCTCTTTTTTTTTTTAAACCTCACCCAGGGACATTTTTTCCATTGCTTTTTCAGAGAGAGTGGAAGGGAGATTGAGACAGAAACATTGATGCTGGAGATACGCATCGATTGGTTGCCTCCAGCATGGGCCCCAACCCGGCTGGGGAATCAAGCCTGCAACTGAGGTATGTACCCTTCAGTCTGCCAGCCAACGCTCTAACCACTGAGCCAAACCAACTTGGGCCCAGGGTTGCAGGTTTGATCCCTGGCTGCAGGTATCTGGGTTGCCCCAGCCTCAGTTGTGGCGCGGGCGCTAGGCAACCAATCTATGTGTCTCTCTGAGGTGGATGTTTCTCTCTCCCCTTCCCTCCCCCGCCCTCCACTCCCTCTAAAAATCATTTGAAAAAAATATATGTCCTCAACCGGTGTGGATCAGCGGGTGAGCATCAACCTATGTATGATCCAGGAGATCTTCGTTCAATTCCAGGTGAGGGCACCAGGGTTGCAGCCTCCATCCCCAGTAGGGGGCGTGCAGGAGGCTGTCGATCAATGACTCTCATCACTGATGTTTCTGTCTCTCCCTCTCCCTTCCTCTCTGAAATCAATAAAAACATATTTTTAAAAAAATAATACATATTTTTTTAAAAAGATACTCCTAGTGCTCTTATCATTTAGGAAATTACAAAGGTTGCCAAAGACCTGTGTCAGGAACTGTGGCAGATATACATATTTCACAGCCTGCCTCCCAGAGGTATTTCTAAAGGGATTTCCCTTATACTAGGAAGCATGGGAAGGAATATTCAGTAGACCACCTTCTTACACCATACACAAGAATAAACTCAAAATGGATCACAGACATCAACGTAATCCTAGAAGAAAATATAGGCAGTAAAATCTCAGACATTTTTTGTAGCAATATTTTTTTACATATCTCCTCGGGCAACGGAAACACAAGAAAATAAACCAATGGGACTACATCAAACTAAAGGTTCTGTACAGCAAAGGAAACCATCAACAAAAGGAAAGACAATCCACTGAATGGAAGAACATATTCACCAGTGATACATCTGAAAAAGGATTAACATCCAGAATTTATAAAGAACTTATAAAACTCAACACCAAAAAGTAAAAAACCACCACGAAACAATCCAATTCAAATTTGGGCAAAGGACCTAGGTAGACAGTTCTCCAAGGGGGACATACATATGCCAATAGACATAAAAAGCTACCCAACGTCACGAATCATCAGAAAAACGCAAATTGAAACAATTAGATATCACCTCACAGCTGTCAGAATCAATGAATCCATCAAAAAAACCACAGACAGCAAGTGTAGGCGAGGGTGTGGAGAAAAGGGAGCCCTCATGCAGTGCTGGTGGGAATGCAGCCTGGTGCAGCCACTGTGGAAAACAGTGTGGAGTTACCTCAAAAAATTAAAAATGGAGCTGCCTTATGACCCAGCCATTCCACTTGTGGGAATTTATCCAAAGAAAACCCAAACACTAATTTGAAAGGATATATGCACTCCTATTTTCACGGCAGTGTTATTTATCATAGCCCAGATTGGAAGCAGCCCAAATCCCCATCTCTAGATCAGTAGCTAAGAAAGCTGTGGTACATCCCTAGCTGGTTTGGCTCAGTGGTTAGAGTGTCAGCTCATGGACGGAAGGGTTCCAGGTTCAATTCCATCCAAGGGCATGTACCTCAGTTGCGGGCTCGATCCCTGGCTCTGGTTGGGGCGCATGCAGGAGGCAACCAATTGATGTTTCTCTCTCCCTCCCTCCCACTCTCTCTTTCTCTAAAGTCAATAAAAATCTTTGGGTGAGGATTTTTTAAATAAATAAAGGCTGTGGACAGGGGACAGGGATATGAGACAGGATTTGTGTCCTGGGATTAAGCCTCATCGTCTTCTCACCTGGGATACATTTCTGGATTTTAAGAAATAAACACCAAAAAGACACTTTTATTTATTAACAAGTATTTATTGTCATTTGAAATGCGTTAGCTACTTTACAGCTTCCTGAGATATTTTGGTGAGAAAAACAGAAATTCCCTCTCTCCTCAAACTTACATTTTAGGGAGACAATGAATGAAAAATGTAGTTATAAAGAAGCTATAAAGTATGTTCTAAATAGAGAAGTACTATGGAAATATACCCATGACACATTTACATGCATTACATGGAGGAAGCTGCTGGTGTGGAGGCAGTTCTCTGGTGCATCCTCAGGTGGCGGTGGTAGGTGGATGACTGGCGGTAGCACCTGTGGCACTCGGAGCACACGTAGGGCTTCTCTCCCGTGTGGATTCTCTCATGAGCCACAAGGTTAGTTCTGTGGCTGAAGGACTTTGCACACGTGCTGCACCTGAAAGACTTCTCTCCTGCATGAATCTTCTGATGCACACGTAGGTCTGAGGCCTGGAAGAAGCCTTTGTCACATGTGGCACAAATAAATGTCCTCTCATTATTGTGTCTTCTCTGATGGACTTCGAACCGAGAGAAATGCTTAAAGGTCTTGGAACACTTCTCACATTGGTACAATTTTCGGGCTCCATGACATCTTTCTTGTTGTCCCCCACATGGGGAGTCTCCCACATTGCTCTGCTGGGCAGGAACAGGCTCCAGGGTGACCTGGTCCAGACTGGAGAGAAATGCTGGTCCCACCTCCATGAGGACATCTTGATGAGAGGGGCCTCTCAGGAACCCTTCCTGGGACATGGAGGTGCCTAGACCTGCAGTTCTGGAGCCAAGTGGATTCTCCAGAGGGACCCCTTCCTCCTCAGGCCCAGGACAGCTCTCTCCCTGGATAATGCACAGGGAAGGTGTTTCGTGGCCTTGCCTAGTAATGCTGTCCTTTGCTTCAGTCGTCCTCAAAGAAATGTTACCACCATTTTCATCATCATCTTCTGTGAAAATAAAGACGTGACTCGTGAAACTGTGTCCAAGAGAGTCCATAGGGGACACTTGTAATACTTTCAACAATAAAGACAAATTTAAAAAGAGAGAGAGAGTCCACACAGAACAGCCCTCTGGTACCTGGTCCCCTCACTCACCTTGTCCTGTTTGCAGAGAAGTGTCTTGGGGAGTCCAGGAAGGTGTCCCCATGTTTACCACTGTTGGGGTCCCTGCAGACAGCTGATTCCTGAGGTGAACAATGACCTCCCCCAAGAGCATGTTCTCAGGAAAGAGGGCTTCCTGCCCCTGCATGTGGACGTGGACCTGTAACGAAGCCTGGTCACTGTCCTTTCTGGATCTGAGCAACTATAGAAGCCTTTGTGGAAAACCTACCCCCCACAATTCCTCCACTGCATGGCCCCCTGCCCTCTCCTGCCCTTTATTTCTGCTGGCATTAAATTTCACAGTAATTTCTTTTTTCTTTTTAAATCCGAACCCAAAAATATTTTTTTCATTGCTTTTCAGAGAGTGGAAGGAAAAGAGAGAGAGAAATATTGATGTGAGAAAGTCACATCCATTGGCTGCCTCCTGCACAAGCCCTGACAAGAGGCAAGGATGGACCCTGCAACCGAGGTATGTGCCCTTGGCCAGAATTGAACCCAAGACCCTTCAGTCCCCGGGCTGACGCTATAACCCTTGAGCCAAACCCGACAGGGCTGATGGTAATTTCTTGTTAGTGCATCTTCCCTAATGGAAAAATACTAAGGCTTTCTCAGGGAAGAACCAGCTCACATTAAGTCATTTTGAGGCAGGCTAGAGTAAGAAGCTGGGAAAATGCCTTGGCAAGTGGAATAGGGAAACTGCGGCAGAGAGCTGAACAAACTGCCTGAGCAATTTACAGCAGATACAGAAGGTCACTTCCCTAAGATAACATCTAGGCCTCAGTTGTATTTGAGCTCCATGAGAGGCCATGGCCAACCTCAGGACCAGCTGCACTGAATAATGAATCCTGCCCTGGCACTGACAAATCAGTGGAGACCATGACCCTGAAAAGACCCTCCTAGAAAGCACATGAATATTCTATTGAGAGGCTCCCCTGAGACCTCCTCTAAGATCTCCACCCTTAAAAAAACTTTTAGGACCAAGAACCCCGTGTATTCCACACCCATGCCTTTCCCCTCCCCCTCCCTCTTTTCTTTCCCCACCTGCAGCTCCTAAACTCTAGGGGACTGCAGGAGGCTGCAACCAGGACAGCAATGGACAGTGTAGTTCATCCCAGGCAAATCCCCTGAGTCTGTCCCTTTTTCTCTGACTTCTTTTTTTTCTTTTAAATATATTTTATTTCAGAGAGAGGAAAGCAGAGGGAGAGAGAGAAGCATCCATGATGGGTCACTGATCAGCTGCCTCCTGCAGGCCCCCTACTGGGGATCAAGCCCAGATCCTAGGTCGATGCTCAACCACTGAGCCATGCCAGCTGGGCTCTGACTTCTTGATGAGCCAAAGCAGCCCAGCCTAGGCTCATTTCCCCAGCCCTTTCTTGTTTCACTGTCCCCAGCTTTTATAAATGTCCTCTAAAATTTGCCTGGACTGGTGTTTTGAAATTTTCCTGCACAAAGTCAAGAACCCACACACTACCAGCTGGCCCTAGGCAGACCTGTTCAGGGCCAGGTCCCCTTTCTGGTAACAACTTCACCTCATCCTTGAGGTTCTGCTCAACTGTGAATGTCTTAGTCAGCCCTCCTACCACCTCACAAGCTTAAATTAGTTAAATCAATCAATATGTTGGCGACTACGTGTGCCACTGGAATATGTGAACACAAGTTTTTTCCTTGCTTACTTAGAACAGCAAAGATTTCTCTCCGCGAGGACTAATAACTGGGTCTATGGTAACACTTTCTCTATTTCCCAACACCCCCAAAGACTGCACTATTCCTTTCTCCCCGCTCCCCACAGGGGTCAGAGTCTTCCACTCACCCAGCCAGGGGGCTTCATGTAGTCATCACTCAGATCTTCCATGAATGTCTCCAGGTTTTGGCCACTTGATTCCCATTTCTCCTTCAATGCGGACCTGTCGCTGCAGTGCCTATTGATCATAAATTGTTCCAGCACCAAACGGGAAATAATTTCATCCTTGCTGTGTTTTTCTGGCTGCAGCCAAGAATGAAATAACTTGTAGAGTCTTTGCAGTTCCTGTCTTGCGCACGAGTTATTGCTGTTTTGTAAAAAGTTGAATTCAGTGCTCTGGAACCCGGAGATCCCCTCTCCTTCCTGGATGGCATGTCCTTGGCTAGGTTTAAGCTCTAGATTTTCTGACCCAGGATCATTTCTGGGTGGTTCACCTTGACATGAGATTCTGAGATTTAAAGCCATTCTTAACACAAATTTTACAGAGAGACTAAACTTCAGAAATTCAATCTCTGCTTAGTTGTTTCTCTGGGGATCTGTTTCAATAACTGGTAGATGATTAAACGCTGCAAGCTAGAGATAGAAGAGATACAGAATTAATTACAGCACTGACATACTTAAAAACAGACAGAAAAGTTCAAGTCCAGATAAATTCATGGATGAGTTCTACTAGACATTTAGGAAAAAGAATTCTAATTTTACAAACTCTCCTAGAGCATTAAAAAAAAGTGGGGTCCTGGCCAGTGTGGCTAAGTTGGGTGGAGTGTCCTCCTGTACAGCAAAGGGTTCGATTCCCTGTCAGGGTACCGGCTTAGGTATCAAGTTCAATCCCAGTCGGGGTGTGCAGGAGGTAACCAATCAATGTTTCTCTCTCTCTCTCCCTCAAATCAATAAATATATCCTCAGGTAAGGATTAAACAAACAAAAACCTTGCATGAATCCTATTCACATGGATTTAAAAAAAGGGGGGGGAACACTCCTCTTTTGGTTAAGGAGTTTAGCAGCTCCCTGATAACAAAACCTTGCCAATACATTAAAGGAAGGAATTCTACAGTCCAATCTCCCATAAATACAGGTGTAAAAATTAAAAGCAAATTATTTGAAAATCAAACCCAGGATTTACTTTCATTTTATAAGTGTTTTTTTTAATTATTGATTTCAGAGAGGGTAAGGGAGAGGAAGACAGAGACAGAAACATCAATGATGAGAAAATCATTGATCGGCTGCCTCCTCCCCTCCCCCTACTGGGGATCGAGCCTGAAACCCCAGCACGTGCCCTGACCAGGAATCGAACCATGATCTCCTGGTTCATGGGTTGACGCTCAACCATTGAGCTAAGCCGTCTGGGCAGGATTTTCTTTCTAAATGAAAAGTTAAAATTTAAAAGTCAATGCAACCTCCGCAGTTAAGAGTTCAGAGTCTGGAGCCGAACTGCTAGGGTTCAAGGCCCAGCTTTGCTGTTCACTAGCTACATGATCTTGGGCAAATTATTTAAGGTCTCTGAGCTTCAGTTTCTCCTTTGTATAATGAGTTGGTAACTACGGAATACCTCATGGCGTTGTTGTAAGCTAATAAAACACAGTCTTTAGAGCTAAAAAAAAAAATCAATGTAACCTAACATTAATAGAATATAGAAAAACACACTATCATCATCTACCTAGATACATCTGGAAAGTTAAATAAAAGTCAGTGCTAATTACTGAAAGACACTTAGTAAAGGTGGAATAAAGAGAACTTCCTGTCATTTATATATGTCCTAATTTTGTTTGCAGAGAAATCCTAAATATTCTACAAATATTACATGAGGTGAATTTTTATAAGATACATGAAACACGGGCAATATATCAAAATTGATTGGATTATACAGTAACACAAGCAGCTGAAAATTAAAACAAAAATACCACTTATACAACCATTAAATATGTAAGAAAAATCCAATAAAAATGTGTAAGCCCTGTAATCAAATACACAACATTGAAAAATATTATTTTTTGAATGACTTTGTATTAAAATCTAATGAGTTCTTAGAAAGTTCTTTAAATGTTTATTAAAAGCAATATATGTGGCATAACTGTAAAGTGAATGTTCAAATATTTTGACCTAAAAATTATTTTCCATTTTGATTAGTTTTTTGTTGCTCTTCAACCAGGATATTTTTCACACTGAATTTTAGAGGGAGGGGAGAGAAAGAGAGAGAAACATCCATGTGAGAGAGACACATTGACTGCTTGCCTCCTGCACGTGCCTGGACCAGGGCCAGGGATCGAACCTGCAACCCAGGTATGTGCCCTTGAACCGGAATCCAACCAGAAACCCTTCAGCGTGAGCCAACACTAATCACTGAGCCACACGGGCCAGGGCTATCTCACTGTTTTTAATCCCAGTCCTTTTCCATGGGCATGTAGGACCCAAAAGAGATGAAATTGAGTTTCAATTGCTCCATGTTGATTTCTGACCACAAATCACATTACCTGGGCAACAGTAGGCACACTATTTGGTAAGTCGAATACATAAAAGATTTAATCCTTTATATCATTTCTCTACTTTTGTTTCCTTTTCCCATTTTATATGTAGTTAACATTTCAAAGATATGTATTTTTTTTAAAAGCAAGTTTCCCGACACAAAACCGGAAAATGTGGGTGTTGGGTGTTATTGATACCTGAGCACACAAAGACCCGATTAGTTTCTGTTAGTTGATGTCATCGAAGCTTTGTGTCCACCTCGCCCGGTCATCTGATCAGATTAGCTACCCTGATCTC